CTGTTATTCAGGGCGGATTGAGGCGTCAGGGTGTCATACAGCTGTTAATAACAAAGTATGGTGATCTGACAGGTTAACTGCTATGTCATGGTGTGATATGGCTAATTAAATAGAACACGGCAGTAGGTGCGCTTTTTTTTGCTGGCCGGTAGGTTTGTCACACATTCCTACTGTATCTAACATTTGACTGGGATGTTTGATATGGCATAAAATTCATATCCCGGCGATATATAACGGTTTGACAAGCTACACAAAGCTACATGCTAACTACGGCCAGCTAGCTTCTCTACTACTTAGCTCTCAAAGAAAACAGACCTTAACACCATTTACACACAGTTTTCAACTCAAAAAAACGTAACAGTAAATATCGCTTTTTACTTACTTCCATCGATAACTTTTAGCTCGAGGAGATGACGCCCTGCTCGGCTCCGACGCTCCGGTGGAGAGGACCCGGGTAGACCGGCGGAGCTCCATCTAGCTTGCTCTGAATTTTGTCATCAGCCAGCAAGCACAAAAATAAAACCAGCCAGAACTTCAGCATTAGACCACGGTGTTGTCATTATTGTTTTTAAAATCTTTAAAATAGGTCCAGCTGCTACTCCGGTCCGAGAAATTGCAAATGGTGTTTGAAAAGTTTCTGAAAGATCCAGTGACTCCTCCCCCTGAGCAATCAGTGACCGAGAGTGCACTGGCGTCACATGTGGACCCAACAAGAACCAGACCTGGGACCCCAGAGAAGCAGGTTCCAAAAATCGTGCAGGTTCCACCGCTGAAAGCACCGTGGATAAACTACGCAATAGGCCCAAACTGGTCCAGAATGCAGCAGCCTGATTTTTAACCAGTACAGGCAAAAGAGAGCACATTACACCAGTTTTGGCCTCACCTCATTTTGTATTTTGCTTTGTGTGTTACCTGTTGTTCTGTCTGTACAGCACTTTGGTTGGCCTTATCGCTGTTTTAAGTGCTCTATAAATAAAGTGGTATGGTATGGTATGGTATGGTATGGTATGGTATGGTATGGTATGGTATGGTATGGTATGGTATGGTATGGTATGGTATGGTATGGTAACCATTCAGCCACAGCCGCCCCAAAGAGAAGAGACAGGTTTCCAGAGGAGAGCAGAGCAAACAGCTGACACAGATTGTTCTGGATGGGAAACATGTAGCTGTGATGGGGAACGTTGTGGTTGAAGCTGCTGAACCCACACTACGTCAGATGCTCTCAACACAACAAACTGACAGAGCCTTTCCCGATATACAAGAGATCAACTGATGTTGTGAACGATGAGTATTACTGCCTGGTCTCAGACTAAACTAAGACTTTGATGTTATAGTCTGGTAAATTCATTTGCTCAGTTAATCCATCCAGTTTCAATTTCAAAAGTTTTTCTAAACGTGTTACAACTTTGTCTTTTTTTCCATTTAATACAAAACTTTACTAATACAGTAAAACAGTCACGGGCTAAAGTTTTGTCAATGTAGTGCACTTTAAGTGGACCAGTAGGAAACAGGCACTAACATCTACTGGTCTCCACCAGGAGAGTAATGTTCCGCCAGCCGAATACTGAACTGATTATTTTATTGCTTTCTCACACACAATAAAGCATTTAAAAACAAACTTGTTTACAAGTGTTGAAAATAAAATATAAGAAAAAATTAAACAGAGCTCTTTCTTTCTTTTGTAGACAATAAAAAAAAACAAGTTCATTTCTTTAGCGACGTTGCTAACTGGGCAGAGTTGTGTATGGAATCTTATCTGTAACCCAAGATGGATTTTTCAGATTGTGAAGGTTCTTCTGTGAAAGGACGTCCCGGCTGGCCACACGGTTTACACCTGTCCACAGGTCACATGGGCTCGACTCGCCATCACCATCAAAGAATTCAGAGTCTCTATAAAACCAATCGGGATTTCCACAGATATTACCCAACGAGCGGTCACTTCTGTCACTCACAGACTGGTTGTAAGGTCCAGGTCAGTGCACGTGTAAAGAGCATGCCTCAGAATATATGGAAATATGACCAAACCATGTTGGTTAAATTCAAATCAGTAAAGACTGAGTGCCCTCTGCTGGACACTCCAGGTATCACAACCTAAATTACAGATATGGCCCATTTTCCTGGACAGTGGACCCCAAGTCCTTGAAGTCCTGCACCTTTGTGACCTCTGCTCCTTGTAGCCTCACTGTGGAGAAGATGAGACCATACAACACGTGCTGATGATCTGCAAGAAACACAGTCATGAACCAAGACACATGATTCATAGACTCACTGCAATAAACGTCGATCCTGTGATGCTGCTACAAGGAAACTCAAGTTCTGCATGTTGAGATACCTGAAACGGACTCATTTATTTGAAATAATATGAGTGTTATTTATGTATTTATACATCCGTATGGATAATTTACTTTATTGTATTTCTTGAGCGTCATTTCAGTTACAATCCACACCAGCAGATGGCGGTGATGCTTCAGAAACTTGAATGACAACCGCCGAAGAAACCGAAGAAGAAGAAAGGGCCGAAAGTTGGCGCATGCGCATCACGTTTTCCGGTCAACATCGACAGTTTAGCATCGATAAAGTGCACAGATTACAGAGCTACAGATTACAGAGCTACAGATTACAGAGCTACAGAGACATGTCTGGCTTCAGCGTGGAGCTGATCGATTATCTGGAGGGTCGAATCACTTTTGAAGAGTTCGACCGCAGGAGAGACGAACGGAAAGCAGAGGAGGTAAACACGGCTAGCTTGGAGCTAACGCGGCTTCAAGCTAGCAGCTGTGACGTAATGATTTGTTGCTTCAACATTTTCTCTGTTTTCCAAATAACTAGTGTTTGTGTGTCTTGTATGTTCAGTAATATTTAACTGTATTTCAAGTAACAATGGGAATATTGTTGTGTTTGAATCTTTCTTTAGCACATTGGCTCTGTCTTTGTCTCCTGTGTACTTCTAACTTTAGCTGTTCTGCTGGTTTAACGAGCCCTTTGGCTCTTTTAGTCTCGCTAGCTGTTAAGAGTCGACGGACGGATTATTAATCCCAAAGAAACCCAAACATCCAGCAGCGCTCAGGGCTGTGGTTCATAGAGACAGGAAGAACATTTAAACACGCACCATGTGAAGAACTCCAGGGACTGGGACTGAACAGCTGGGTAGTCTTAAGAAAACCACTAACCAGTGAGGCTAACTGGGAAAAAAGGCTTCAGTTTGTTAGGGAGCATAAAGATCGGACTGTGGAGCAATGGAAGCAGGTCATGTGGTCTGATGAGTCCAGACCTGTTCCAGAGTGATGGAGCATCAGGGTCAGAAGAGAGGCAGGAGAAGTGATGCACCATCATGACCAGTGTCTCGTCATCACTGGAAGATCTTGGTGAAACATTAATTCAACACTGGATGGAACAGATCTTGTGACGTTGAAGAAGTTTATTGAAACAAAGACACAGAGAATGATGTGATCAAAGATAAAGGAGCTCCAACCAAATACTAGTGTGACCTTTTTTTTTTTGGCCAGGCCGTGTATTTATGAGCAGGTGGACGATCACTCCCCTCCACCACCTCCACAGATGTTGGACAGTCGTGTGTCCGGGGGGACAGACGAGGTGTTCGGTCTATTTCTGGAGCAGTCTGTGGCTGAACATCACCCTCTCACCTGCTGAAGATGTAGAGGGTGGTGGGTGTGGTTCAGGATGGAAAGCACTTTGTCCAGGTCCTTTACTCTGCCACAGAGTCCAGGTCTGTCCCTCCACGGAGCCAGCCCTCCTCACCAGTCTGTCCAGCTGTTCTGTGTCCTCCTTCCTGCTGCTGCCTTCTCAGCTCACCACAGTCTGACAGAGGACACCACTGACTGGTCTGACGTCTGCAGCAGCTTCCTGTAGTCTGCATTTGCTGTTTGGTCCACTCTGTCAGTCTTAGGTAGTCCTAGGTCCTGACCTCCTCCACATCAGCCCCACTGATGGACACAGGTTGAACTATGGGCTTAGTCTTCCGGAGGTCAATTCAGAAATACCTTATTAATCCCAGAGATGAATTAAATGTTGTAACTCATCATCCTGGTTTCATTAAAGAGTTGTTCTAGATGCTGATGCTGTGGACAGGAAGGATCTCTTGTCTTATAACAGATCTGAAGAAGCCTCTGACTGAAGACACTCTGTTGTTGTATGACATTCTGTTGTTGTATGACAGTCTGATGTTGTATGACAGTCTGATGTTGTATGACAGTCTGTTGTTGTATGACAGTCTGATGTTGTATGACAGTCTGTTGTTGTATGACAGTCTGTTGTTGTATGACAGTCTGTTGTATGACAGTCTGTTGTTGTATGACAGTCTGTTGTTGTATGACAGTCTGATGTTGTATGACTGTTGTTGTATGACAGTCTGATGTTGTATGACACTCTGTTGTTGTATGACAGTCTGTTGTTGTAGGACAGTCTGTTGTTGTAGGACAGTCTGTTGTTGTATGACAGTCTGTTGTTGTATGACAGTCTGTTGTTGTAGGACAGTCTGATGTTGTAGGACAGTCTGATGTTGTAGGACAGTCTGATGTTGTATGACAGTCTGATGTTGTATGACAGTCTGTTGTTGTATGACAGTCTGTTGTTGTATGAC